AAAAAATAAAAAGACTTTGTAGCAGACTATTATTTTTCTTAAAAAATATATGCTGAAGTATTTTCTTCAAGTAACTCCAATGATTCAATGAAACATTTAAAACTCATACACAAGGCAGCCCCGGTGGCTCAGCGGTTTAGCCTAGGGTCCTGGAGACCTGGGATCGAGTCCCACGTCAGGCTCTCTGCATGGAGCCTGTTTCTCCCTCTGCCTGTGTCTCTGCCTCTATCTCTCTCTGTGTCTCTCATGAATAAATAAATAAAATTAAAAAAAATAAAACTCATACACACAGGGGAGGGACAGAGAATGACATATGTGACAAAAAATAACGGGTGAATCCAGGTGAAGGATATATGAGTATTTCTTGTAATTTTCTTGCAATTATCTGTAGGAGAGACATTTTCAAAATTAAATTTGAGGAAAAAGAAGATATTATATATGCCATTTTATGCCTATCAGTTTGAAAACTCAGAAAAAGGTGACCAATTTTTAGAAAAAAATAACTTGTCAAAAATCACAAAAGAAGGAATAGACAAGGGGTACCTGGGGTTCTCAGTGGTTAGGCACCTGCCTTTGGCTCAACCCTGGGATCCTGGAAGCAAGTCCTGCATTGGGACCCCTGCGGGGAGCCAGCTTCTCCTTATGCCTATGTCTCTGCCTCTCTCTGTATGTCTCTCATGAATAAATAAACAAAATCTTTTTTTTTTAAAAATGAAGTAATAGCCAATCTGAATTGTTTTATAACCATAAAGAAATATATCACTAGTCAAAAAAGTTTTCAGAAAAAAAAATCCAGACTTCTCCACTGACTTCAGACAAACACCTTACCCAAAAACATTTTCCACATTATACAAGTTCATAGAAATACCGGAGAAAGGACATTCCCCAACACATTGTGTGAGGATACAATAACTGGATACTAAATCCTGTCAATGACAAGTTGGGAAAGGAAAATCGCACATATAGGAGATCATAGAGTGAGCAGGGGCACATGAGCAGGCTAGAGGGAAAGAATCTACAAGCCCACTCCCCAGTGAGTGAGGAGCCCATCCCAGGTGTAGATCCCACCACCCATGAGGTCATGACCTGACCCGAAAACAATAGTTGGGCTCTTAACCCTTAGAGCCACAGGATTCCCTTTCTTTGATATTCTCACAAAGTCCAGACCTTAAGGACAGAGAACTGATTGGCAGTTTCCCATGTCTTGGGGTTGAGAGAAGGGTTTGAACTACCAGAGCATGATGGGTTTTGGTGGGTGATGAAGGTTTTTTGTAGTTTGATTGTGGTGATAGTTCCCTAACATTATGAGTACTTAAGGATTTCAGACCTTGCTGTAAATTCTGTCTCAATAATTTTGAACTTTAAAAAATTATTTATTGGGATCCCTGGGTGGCGCAGCGGTTTGGCGCCTGCCTTTGGCTCAGGGTGCGATCCTGGAGACCCGGGATCGAATCCCACGTCGGGCTCCCGGTGCATGGAGCCTGCTTCTCCCTCTGCCTGTGTCTCAGCCTCTCTCTCTCTCTCTCTCTCTCTCTCTCTCTGTGACTATCATAAAATAAAAATAAAAAACAAATTTAAAAAAAAATTATTTATTTATTCATGAGAGACACACACACACACACACACAGAGAGAGAGAGAGAGAGAGAGAGGCAGAGACACAGGCAGAGGAAGAAGCAGGCTCCACACAGGGAGCCCGATGTGGGATCGATCCCCGGGTCGCCAGGATCAGGCCCTGGGCTCAAGGCGGCGCTAAACCGCTGAGCCACCCGGGCTGCCCCTCAGTAATTTTGAACTTTTAAAAAATTGTGAAAAGTACATTATGAATGGATACTGTGTCTTACCAATTACTTTTCGAATTTGAGGATCACGATGAGAGAACCTCGAGAGAACTAGGGAGGAGAAGAGACTGGCATGGGGCAAAAGAAGAGATTATATTACTATCAACTTTCTCTAAATCGGAGTGGTAGTTCCCAGGAATACACCCCGGCAGGAACACAGGGGCAGTGAACACCCTCTAGTCATGCAAATGGTGCACCCAAGGATCATGCAGGTAACAGCTCACATGGATCACTGGCACCTCCAGCATGCGGGTCAGCCACACAGAGCAAACACAGGCCAGAATCTCCCCAACTAAGGTCAGCCGGGTAGCAACCATAATGACATCTGCAGCCTTCACCACCATTGCCGCCGCCCCGCAAGCTCACAACCTATGAGCCGATTCCAGGAATTGGGACGTGGGCATCTTCAGGGACCATTCCTCTGCCCACCACGCCCAGCTCCGTCTCCAGTGCTCACCACCTCCTGCACTCCTGGGGTGTGCCCAGCCCCGCCCCTCCAAGCATCTGCAGAGAAAGGCTTGCTGGTGGCCGCGCTGGCACTGGCGCTGGTGCTGGGGGTGGTGGAGAGGGAGGCATCGGCCCCGGAGCTGGGAAGGCAGCAGAACGAGGCAGGCCGGAGCCTAGAGCTCTCCAGGCCAGCCACCACTGCCTCCCTGGCTGGAGAGGGGGCGTGAGGGGGAAGGCAAAAGGGGCACAGTGCCGTAGGGCGGGGGTCCCACCTCCTCGTCTCCCCTGGGGACAAGTACTCCCTTCATCTCTGCCTCACCATCTGCCACTTACTTCTCCTGGGGCAGGAAGGTGCCGAGCCACAGCCTGTGATGTATGGGTTTACAACAACATGACTCTGTGGTACTGAGTCTGAATATGGAACAGAGATCGTGAGCTCAGAGGAGGGAAGGGAGGCTGGCCAAACCAGTCAGCGAGGATTGTGCCCATGCCCTGCCACGTCCCCTTCTCCCCTTCCTCACGGTGGCCACCACGGCTCTGGGCCTCCTGGGCGGTGCGGGTGCTGGGCTTCTCCCCGGTCGCCGCTTGGCCTCGAGTCCACCCACGGACACCCCAGCGGGAAGGTGTGTGCCAAAAGCATTCACTCAGTTGACAGCGCACCGTGTTACCCCGCCAGGAAATAACCACAGCCTCTGGGTCCAGGCTGGACGTGCCCTAAGCAACGTCCACCTTCTCAAGTGAGAGGCTTGGAGTGGAAGGATTAAGTCCCACGAATGTTCTTCTCCAGGCCAAGGTCTGCGCTTGTCCCACCCCCGTGGGAGAGGGTCTGGCCCCGAGTTCATGGCCCAGGGCCCCGAAGGCAGGCAGGCTGAGAATAGTGGGGAGCCAAGTCGGCCCCATTTTCCGTGGGGAAGCCACTCTCGACCTCCCAGCCTCACTGTGCCCATCCTGCCCCTGTCCCCCTCAGCTCCTGGCAGAGCAATGTCCCAGGCGAGCTCCTTGCTGCTAAGATGCCGCCTGTCCCAGCCACTCCGAGCTAGCCTTCCCTCCCGTTCTCCTCCCTTCAACACACACGGGAGGACTCAGACGGCATAGGATCACAGAGTAGGATCCACAGACTCCTCTGGGGGCTCCCGGCCTTTGGAGGGTCCCGGCACCCTGTCCTGGCGTCATTCCACGTCTGGGGACTTCCACGTCATTCCCCTCCAGGGTTAGGAAAGTAACAGCAGCCCCTGAAAAGTGAATCCGCCCCCTTGCTTCTGCTCATTCAATCCCTCACGGGTTCCTGACCACAGGCCCCACTCCCTTTACTCCCGGAATCGTCTCTCTCTCCCTCAAGGGAGATCATCCCCGATCAACTGCATTCCCACACACGTCCAGACGCACACACCAGCCTTGTCTGTTCTGTGGACCACCGAACCCCTCCCCCCTCCCTGCTGTGCATGAAATACCCGGTCTCTCGGGAAGCTACCCTCTCGCCACTCAGACCCAGATCTGTCCCTCTGAGTCTCAGGCCAGCAGAGCCCTGGGTCCTGGCTGAAGGAAGGAGGCCATCGCCACCCTTCAGCAAGGGGGCAGTGGAACAGGGAGTCCAGACTAAATCTTGTGTGACCTGAAGTGGCGGTCAGGGAGCCTGAGCACAGAAACAGCGCTTCCAGGAAGCCCTGTGTCACGGTGGTGCCGGTCCAACAGCACTGCGAGGGGACCACACAGGCACCTGGAGACCCATCACGCACACTTGCCATAGAAACGGACGGCTGCTTTCCAATCAAGAGTACAGGTCGGAGGGGGGCGGTGAGCCAGCTTGGGACAGGAGGGACGTGAGAACTGCGACAGCTAGACCATCCATTTCCAGCTGCTGGCGGCCAGGTTGCCCCAGGTTGGCCCAGAGCCACCACCAGCCTCACTGCCCCCACCTCCAGCCCAGAGACTAAGCTGTGCTCCTCTCCTCAGTCCCCTGCACCTGCCCTGTAGCTGGGCTGTGACTCCTGCCTCCGTCCCCCTACTGAACGCGAGGAGGGAGAACTGATGGGTCTGGAAACCCAAGGCTAAGGAGGAGGATGTGCCAGTTCCTGGGCCAGTTGTCCTTGTGCGTGGTGGCACTGAGAGAGGGAAGGACTGCGCAGAGGGGACTGGGCCCGGGGAGGGGGTGGGAGGATGAGCTCAGCTGTGCTCTTTAACACCCGTGGAAGCACAGGGCCAGGGAGGGCCAGCGATGACAGAAAGCCACGGGAGTGATGAAGGACGCTCAGACAGCAGAGCAGGCTGGCCAGGAGAAGCAGGACAGTGATCCCAAGGAGGGAAGGGAAGAGGGACAGGAGCTCTGGAAGGGGTCCCCGGTTCCTGCTGAAGGCGGAAGGGGTGGTGAATGGGCACCTAGAGACCCCAAAAGAGGGGGAGATTAGGGGAGAACCTGAAGGGGGCCCACGGGGGGTGGGGAAGGGGCACCGCATATGCTCACGTGGCCAGGCAGAGCCCACGCAGAACCCAGACGCGGGGCACGAGGGGGACGTGACCGCAGGGCTCCTAGCAGAGGCAGGCCCAAGCTCCCCACAGGAAGGCCTACCACAGGATACCAGAGGTCCTGTTCTGGAAAAGGCTGGGAAATGGAGCAGCTCCCTGCCCTGCCCCGCCCCCTCCCCCTCCACCACCACCAACAGAGAAGGCAGACCACAGACCTGAGAGGTACTTTAATTTGAAACTGCTGTGAACTGGGGTGGGGAGGGGGCACAAGAACAGGGAGAGGAAGCCCTGGCTGAGGTGGAACAGGAGGGAACCAGCTTGGCCACAACTTCCTGGCTCCAGAAGTACCAGCTGATCCTCTTGTACGGAGATGCTGGGCCCGACCTGCCAAAGAGAGCAGAGTCAGGGAAGAGCATCGAGAGCCGGGGCCAGCCCACGGCCCTCCTAAGCGGCCACGACTGTGGGGAGGGGGTATGGTGTGTGTAACACTCACTTCAAAGGGTCTGGAACTTGTCAGTCAGGGACTGCATGGCTGCTGAAACAGAGACAGGCGTGAGCAGGCACTCCAGACACGGGGATGTAGAAGCCCGTCCCTCCGTCCCCGTGGGGAACCACCCAGCCCCGCAACCGGAAACCCCCTCCAGCCACTATCCAGAGAGCCCTGGGCCTGATTCACTCACCCCCAACTTGAATTAAATATGGATGCGTTTTCTAAGGGAACAACATGTGCCAGCATTTCTCAAGCTTTGTTGGGGGCACATCGGAACCATTCAGAACTGGCGAACGAACACACACACACACACACACACACACACACACACACACACGCTCACAGACGCACACGAACACACACCGGGCCAGCCATACAGAGGAGCAGTTAAAGGGAAAATCAACGAGGCATCCCTAAACGTCCTAAAAGGGGGAGACCACTGGGACACGTTTTCCCTGGCAAAGCATGTGTGCAGTTGAGGCCGTATTTCCCTGTCTGTGCGCACACCTAGCTAACTATACATGCACAGCGGGCTCCAGGGCCAGGCCTGCTCGGTTCTCCTCCCCACAGGGATGTTGGGCCCCGTGCGGCTGCCTGCACCTACAGCCCATCCCGGGTGGGGTGCTGCACTGAGACGCGCGCCCCCCCTCCCCGCCCTCCCTGCAGCCTGCCTCTGCCCCAACCCGGGCCCCAGCCAGAGGCTCCTCATACCAAGCTGCTCTTTCAGGTCGTCTATTTCTCTCTGTAGCACGAGACACTAGGCCAGCAGACAGCAGAGAGACAGCAATGATTAGCATCCTCCGGCTTCCTCTCTCTCCGGCCCCTCCCCTTCTCCCACGGGCACTACATCCCCAGGCCCAGTGACCAGACTGGCACAGGCTCCTCAGTGGAAAGGAGGCGCCTTCCCTCTGTGGGGAGCAGAATGGAGGCGAGGTGGGGGGACAGGGGGAAGAGGCACACATGGCAGTTTAGCCTGGACACGGATCCCACCATCTAGTTTGAGCTTGCGTTTCTAGGAGCCAGAAGCAGCAGTACCCGAGGACAGCCCTGTGTTCCAGGTGGTTGCTGCAGCCTTTCCGGTCTTGGGAGGTGGTCAAGCGGCTCCTGGTCACCTGAGAGGGAGAGAACATGAAATCCAGCTTCCAAGGCCCCCAGTGAGGTGGAGAGGGCCTAAGCGGGGTCTAACGTGAGGCAGCACCACCCTCTGCTGGCAACAAGTGGCCCCTGCTCTGCCAGCAGCTCCAACCTTCTCTCTGGGACTGCCCCTCCTGTCCCCTAGGGGCGGCCCATCCTTGAAGGTGGTCCCCAGGGACGGGGGCTCTGGGTTGCACTCTGCCAGAGCTGCAGCCACAGGCAGCCCCCAGGACGCGCAATGTGGCCAAACAGGACTGAACAGAAAAACGGCTCTGTTCTGCTCAAAGCCTATGTCCTGAGCTGCTGTTTGGGGGCAGTGCCACGAATCACCCCTGCTGCACAAACCGCACGCAGGGGACGATGTGGCTGAAGGCCGGTCCTTTGGGAGAAGCTGCCTGGCTAGGTGGGGAGGCAGGCAGCAAAGCTGACAGGCCCCCAGCAGAGCCAGAGCCAGAAGTTTCCCTCCTCATCTCCTCTCCCCTGCACTCCTGTGAAACCCACAGGACTCACTGGAGGGTGCACGCCCTCTGGGCATGACGTCTCCCTGGCTCAGGGCTGAGGGCGCGGAGCTTCCTGGAACTTCGGGGGCTCTGGTGTCGAGGTCGCCACTGCTGCATTCTCCACGATGCGTGCCCGAACAACATGGCCCTGGCCTGTGTGTTGGAAGCTAAAGGAAACATTTCTCACTGATCTGACTTGGGACGTGGGGTGTGCTTGTGCGTGTGTCTGTGAGCGTGGGTAGGTGGGCACAGGTGCACATCTGCACACGTGCGTGTACGGGTGGTGTGAGACAGGGAATAGGGAAGGGAATTGAGAGGCCGATGTGGCTGGTGATTTCTCCCTCAGTCAGCCCCGGGCCAGGAGGCAGAGCTGAGCCAGGCAGAAGGAGTAGCGGGCTGACAAAGGCCAGGCTCCCCACAAGCAAGGTTTGGGGACCAGCTAGAAAACAGGAAGCAGGAAGCTGATGAGTCTAAAGGCTGAAGGTTTGTGCTCCAGACTTTGAAGGGGTTCCTGGCTTCAAATCAGCTACCAGCCCTCCCATCCATCCCAGCCCCTCTCTGACGGGAGGAGGCAGGAAACGTGCCAAGGGTCCAGAACGGTGGCGGGTACACACGGAGTGCTACCTTAGTTTACTGTCTGCCCCCGTGAAAAAGACCCACGACCCGATCTGGCATCCGAACGATCCCAATGACCCAGGGGCACCCATGGCAACCCCTGAGGGACGGACAGGGTTTGTGGGTAAAGAAGTACGAGGCAGGGGAGGAGGAGGGGAAGGGGAAGGGTGCACAGAAGAGGAGGAGCATGGCCTACTCACTTGGCCCTTGGGCACTGTGTCTCTGTTTGAGTCACTGCCTTCTCCTGTCACCACCACTGGCTCCGACTCCCGTGTCCTCCTGGGCCCAGATTTCTTCCGGGAGCGGCCGGTGTGCTTGGACTGTTTGCTTCCCGATGGAACCAAGGAATACCTCTTGTTCCTCCCAAGCAGCGGAACCCCAGAGATTGGGGGAAAGGTGGCTGGTTCCAGGGGAGCTGCCGAGACTCTCTGCCCCCAGGGAGGAAAGCTTCTCCCTTGGGTAACTTTTGAGGCCCCCCCTACGGATCTCTTCTCCTGGGCCACCTTCTTCCTAGGGGTGGCCGGGGGCAGGCTGCCAGCAGCGGTGGCGGCGGCGGCGGCTACTGGGTAGCTGGGCCTGTTCCCTCCCTTCCCCCAGACCACACTTTGCATTTTCTTAGAGGAGGAGATGTCCAACTCTCCCACGGCCTGCCTCTCCACAACCGAAGTGAATCCTCGGGGAGCCGAGGACAGGAAAGAACCTGGCACGTGAAGGAAATTCTCCCTGACATGGAAACTCGGTTGTCTGGGTGTGTCCCCGGGATCCTCGGGGCTGTTGGGCTTGGCTTGGCCTCTTTCTTTGGAGTAAATGCTCACCCTCATCAGCTGTATCTCACCGAACTCATCTGATGACTCAGGGTCGGAAGGCCGCCGGCCCGGGCCTTTGGCGGAGGGCCGCTGGCGATCCACCCTGACGGTGGACCTGCTCTTGGAACCTCTTCTCGGGTTCCCCCGGGGCCGGGCTCCCTCGGGCCCACCGAGGTGGAGCGGGACAGCGGAAGGCGGCTGCGATTCTCCGCGGCTCAGGGCAAGCGCGCCTCGACCACCGGGCCCTGCCTCTAGGCCCGCCCAAACGCCAGACCCTTCAGCGGCGCAGCTCTCTGGGGATGGGTTTCTCCGCACGCCCAGGGCATCCGGGTCGGTCAGCTGCTGCACGATGGCGGCCCCGGACTCGTCAGCAAGGTGGGACGCGTAGTCCAGGGCGTCCCCCTTGTCGTCGGCCGGGGTGCCGGGGCGGCCTTCGCGGCCCCAAAGCACCGGCCCTCCCGCTTCCATCACTTCCCGCTCAGACTCGAAGCCCTCGGGGTCTGGGAACCCGCCCTCACCCTCGCCGCTCCGAGGCGGCCCGGGATCCAGACCTAGTCCTGGTCCCCGCGGGGCTCCGCTGGCCTGCTCCCCGCCCTCCGGACCGAAACCCGCTCCCCAGACAGACACCTCGTCGGGGGCGCTCATGTTGGCGAGGCCTGGCAGCCGGGGGTTCCGCGGAGACGATCACCCTGGTCCAGGCGCCAACGGCGACAGGCGAGAGGGGAGAGGCGGGAGGCGAGCGGTGTGCGACGCGTGGAGGGAGGCGCGAGGTGTCCTGGCGACTCCGGCGGTTGCCACAGGCGCGGTGCCCAGCCCCGGGAGGGCGACGTGGCGTCGTCGCGGCGCAGCACAAGATGGCCTCAAACAACGCGCGGTTGGCGCACCCTTCTGAGGCCCGCGCCGCCGCCTCCTCATTGGTCCGTCCCCAGCCAACCAGCGCGCCCCTTGTTGGCCCGCCCATCGAGGCCCTGACCAATAGAGTCGAAGGCCGTTGGTTCACCCTGGAGGGGCTATGGGTTTCGGGTTTCGGGTTTCGGGTTTCGGTGTGAGCGAGTCCAGGCGTTGGTCCCGGCTGCTCTGGTCCCGCCTCCCCTGGCCTGGCCTGGAGCCTGCTTTCCTGGTGGAGTCATGGCTCTGAGCCTCTGCCTCCCCTTCCACAGAACAGGGTGTGCCAGTACCTGTCTCCGGGGTTGTGGGAACGAAACGTCAGGAGGGAGGTGAAGCACCTAGTGCACAGAGGATTCGCCGCCCTCTGTTCCACAGCGGCACTTAGATCCTGATGGGAAAGTGGGCACCGGAAGGCAAGGTCTGGAGCAACGCCCAACTAACTAGGCCTAACGGTGGGGGTGGGGGTCGGGCCCCGCTTGTCTCTCAAATTTTCCTGAGACTGCCAGTTCCCAGCTTCTCTGAGCTGAGCAGTCCTGATATCTGGGATTGGGCCCTCCCTTGGCTTGTGTGAGGTCCTGGCGTGTTATATATAACTTCCCTTGTTTGCCACCCAACCCCTACTCCAAGGGCCCTCCTTTCCTTACGTACTTTCCCTTCCTCTCATACTCCTCTGTCTGCCCCTTGCCTCTTCTTCCTGCATCCTACTCTGGCTGATCCCCAAGAGAGGCCTCGGGTGCCTGAACACCTCTTGCTTGCAGTGGGTCTGCACCTGAGAAGCCTACCAGGCTGGAGAAGGTTACAGGGTGGGGCACATTCTAAATCTGCAATGAGCCTCCTCCTCAAGTGTGCCACTATCCCCACTATCCCTGCTTGGCTGTGGAAAACGCCCTCTTGCCACTTCTCCCAGTGACTCTTAAAGTCATGGTGTGCTATTTCAGACATGGCAAAATGGATCACGAAGGATATAGCAGAATCTCCTCTACCCACCAGCCTCCTAGGAAACATTACCTATGGATCCAGTGGAAGCCTCCTCCATCCCTCTCCCCCTAGACAGAATCCTAGAGCCCTTCACACCTTCGCCACTCTCTTCATCACTGGGGTTCTCCTACCTCCTCTTTTGCTGCGTCCTATAGGTCTCCAGTGGTGTCCATCCTCTCTGCTGACTCCCTTCCTTCAGACTCGCCAAGATCTGATATTGGTTTCCACTTACCAGTTTGGCCTGTGGTGGGGACCAGTGTCAGTGGATCCGCTCGGCCTCCCCCAGCACCATAACTTCTTACCCCACAGACAAATGGCCCAGTGAGTGTGGGTGGGTGGGTGGGGGGTGCTCCAACTGCCAAGCAAATCAGTTGTCAACTTGTGGACTGGAGAAGTGACCACCGTGTCGGTCCAGGGATCCAGTCGGCTTTCCATGACTGGATCTCTAGCCCCAACTCCTTTTATTAGCAGAGTCTCCTGATCCCCAGTCCGACCGGGCCCCCGTGGTGACACTTTGGGTCTCCAGAATCAGTGTCATCTCAGACCCTGTGTCAAATAGTCCTAGACATGTCTGGGTATTCCTCTTTCCCCAGGGCACCGTCTCCTGAGCAATGGCAGTCCTCCACAGAGAAGGACAGTGGCATCATAAACAGTATATAGACTCACCGGCTTGTTTCCACATCCTTCCTCCTCAGGATGCCTCCAACCCTTCAGTCAGTGGGGCCGGTCTCAAAATTGGCTCAGGACCAGGAACTGAGCCAGAAACCGTGACTTTTTTTACTGGGACGACCACCCTCTTTCTCTTGCCTTTTTCTGGCTGTAGTTGCCCCAAGGGAGCCAGGCTGTCTGGACCATCCTCTCAGCTCCGTGCCAGTCAATCACTCTTGACTGCCCCTCTGACCTTGCCAGTCGTGACTGGAAACGGGGTCTCCCCGGGTCTCTTGATCAAGAGCCATCCCCTGCCCTCTGTTACGTCAGAATTCCATCATCCCCGTGGGTAGTAATGAGCGTAGGCCAGGGTCCCTTTCCACCTGTCATCTGCATTGGCTTGCAGAGGACAGCAACCGCTGGACTTCTTGGTGATGCTGGTGGTTTTGGTGAATGGTGTGTCCTCTCGGCCCTCCCCCAGGGCATAACCACCTGGCGATGTGACCGGCCTCACGTTTTCTGTCTGCTCCAGCATGCCTGCCTCGATCAACCTTTTTCTTCCTTCCTCTACCACCGGCTGGTCCACAGTGGGCACTTGCACTTCCCTCCATGTGGGGGGGAGGGGCATCACTTTCTTAAAGCTTTGAAGGGCCACTCTGGGTGGCAAATTTCCCCCATCTCCTGGAGTCCCTGCCAGTATGTTAAATCCTGTGCTATGGAGAAAGTGCCCCCACTCAGTAAAACCTGCTTATCCAGTCTTCTATTCCTGTCCCTCTTGATCCAGCACCCTCAAATTCCAATCCCAGGGATATTTCCCCTGCTCCTGCCAGTACAGACCGGCTATTTCTTGCCACTCCCGTGGTGTATAATTTCTTTTCTCTCTTATCAGGCTTGGCATATCTCCAGCAGGGTTCTGGAGAGAGGATCGGGGCTTCCACTGGGAGGGGTACCCGTGGCTTTGCAGGGAGCAGACTCTGTAGCATCTATCAGCACGGGGCATATGCTGAGTCTTGCTAGGGAACAAAGGGCCACCCTGAAAGCTCTGAGGCCTCTGGGGGTGGGGACCTGGAACAGAGGAATCAGGTGGTATATTAGAACACACCTATCTAAAACAAAAGAGAGTAGTTGTGGAGATACGGAGGCCCAAAAAGACATGAGAAATGTATAAAACTCATAGTGAGGTAACATATGTAAATTGATCCATATCTTTCATGCATTAATCACAAGCTATAGAGGGTCAACCCGGTGTAAGAACCTGCGCATTCAACTATATGCTTTTAGCGGGGGATATACTTCCGACGATGACATAAACCCACGGAGAGGGAAAGGACAGAGGATGATCTACTGAGACTTCGGCAGCCAAAGTGCGCTGTCGTGGCCGTGATAACAACAGACAAAGTAGACTTTTAAGACAGAAAGTGTTCCTAGAGACATAATTGGACATTTTATAATGACGAAAGCATCCACTGATGTGGGAGATATAACAAGTGTGAACTTAGATGCACAGAAGTTCAGAGCCTCAAAGTACATACAACAGAACTTGACAAAATTGATGGGAGAAATAGGACATTCAACAACAATATCTGGAGGTTTTAATACTCTGTGTCGATAATTGATAGAAGGACGAGACAGAAAACTCGCAAGGAAGTAGACGACCTGAACAGCAGCGTCTATTAACCCGAACTCATTGACACCTACAGAACACTCCCAACAGCAGTTGCATACACATTCTTTTCTCTTTAAATTTTTTTTAATTCAAATTAGTTAACATGTACTGTATTACTGGTTTCAGAGGTAGAATTTAGTGATTCATCAGTTGCAGGTAACACCCAGTGCTCATTCCATCAAGTGTCCTCCTTAATGCCCATCCCCCAGTTACCCCATCCCCCACCCGCCTCCCCTCCAGCAGCCCTCAGTCTATTCCCTACCGTTAAGAGTCTCTTACAGTTTGCCTCCCTTTCTGTTTTTATCTTACTATATTTTTTTCTGCCCTTCGTCTATGTTCATCTGTCTTGTGTCTTCTATTCCACATTCTTTTTACGTCCACATAATCATTATCTAGGGTAGGACGTACTGAGGGCCATGAAGCTAATCTCAACAACTTTGAAGGGAGCTAAATTATGCAAGGATTTAGTGTCAAGGTGGTAGAGGTGTGTGAGAGACTCGATAGCACCTAAGAAAAGCTTCAAGTAAAGTAATGATCAGCCAGCTTTCAGGTCAAGCAAGGCGATTAGGGGAACATCTAGGGATGTTGAGCATATTTGGGGTCCTTTCTGATCACTCACCATCTTCACTCTCATCTTTCCATTTCCCCAAAATACAGGGCACCCAGCAGAAAACTTCCTTCCTTCCTTCCTTCCTTCCTTCCTTCCTTCCTTCCTTCCTTCCTTCCTTCTAAATGTTTTCCTCCATTTGGGATCACTCGTATCAACCTACAGTCCTGTCATTTCTCCTAACTTAAAAACCCTCCTCTGATCCGACTTTCCATTTGAGCTACCCCACATGTCTCTTCTCGGCCTTACAGAAAAACTTCTTTTTTTTTTTTTGAAAGATTTTATTTTACTTATCTGAGAGAGAGAGAGAAAGAGAGAGTGAGCACAGCTGGGAAAGGAACAGAGGGAGAAGCAGACACCCCACTGAGCTGGGAGCCCGATACGGGGCTCGGTTCCAGGACCCTGGGATCATGACCCGAGCCAAAGGCAGACACTTAACCGACCGAGCCACTCAGGCACCCCAGAAAGACTCCTTTTACAGAATTGTGTCAAGGAGCCTCGGTGGCCCAGTCCATTGAGCATCTGACTTTCGGTTTTGGCTCAGGTCCTGGTCTCAGGGTCGTGAGGTAGTGCTTGTGTGGGGCCCTGTGCCCAGTATAGAGTCTGCTTGAGATTCTCTCTCCCTCTCCCTCCCTCCCAGCCCCCCACTCACTGTCTCTTTCAATTAAAGTTAGTCACTGTACCAACGTCCTCTCCTCCCATTCACTCTTTCTCTGTTTTTCAAACCTAACAAAGTGTTACTGAATGCATACCATGTGCCTGGCAATGTTCTAAGACCTGGAACTACATTGGTGAACACAACTAAAGGAACTTCCATTTCTGTCATAGACCTATCACCTGTCTTTCCCAAATCTTCTAAGTATCTTCATTCCTTTGTTCTTGGAGTGCACCTTCCCAGACCGCGCTGCAATCTTTATTGGTTGCTAAGGGTGCTGCATCGATCTAGAACATTCTTTTGCTAGGCCCCAAGTTCAATCTGGGGCCTATTGGAACCCACTTTTTTTCTTTTCTTTTTTTTTTTTTTTTTTAGTTTACTACAATGTTTTTGACGCGACACATCCTCCAGGAACTTCCTGAGAAAACGCTCATGGCTCATGGGAGGGCATTTCTTTTGAGACTTTGTATGGGCATCGTTTGTCCTTCTCTCATACTTCGTTGACTTCGATATTCAAATTTCAGGCTGAAATTTTCCCACAAGAATTTTTCAGGCATTGATCTACTGTTTTTGTCTCTAATATTACTTTTGAGGTGCCTCCCATGATTTTGAATGCTGTTATG